TCAATCCATTGGACAAACAACTGAATGCAAGAAAGAAATATTCTGTAGATTGTTGTATCTCTTAATTAAAGGCATGACACAGCTGAAGAATGTCTCACATAGGAAAAGGAAAGGTGGGCTTATCATTCAAATCCTGGCTATTTGTATGCGGATGACACCCAACTCTACCTTTCCTCCTCTACCCTCAACTCCACGACCACCGATGTCCTGACAGCCTTCCTGTCCGACATCGAGTCCTGGACGAGAGATAACTTTCTCCAGCTCAATGTGCGCAAAACTGAGGCCCTCCTGATTGGCTCACGTCAGCGCCTCTGCACCTCAGGCGCTGACAACATCAGCATCCAAGGCTGCACTCTCCACCTCTCAAAGCCATCAGGAACCTCGGGTTCTGTTCGACCCTGAGCTGTCCTTTCTCCCCCATATCCGCACCACAACTGGCACCGCCTTCCATCACCTCCGGAATGTCGCCAGACTACGGCACTACCTCACGCTGCTGAAACCCTGGTCCATGCCTTTATCACCTCAAGGCTGGACTATGGGAACTCTCTCCTCGCCGGCCTTCCCGGCACCTCCCTCCACAAACTGCAGGTCATTCAGAACTCTGCAGCTCGTGTACTGTCCCGCACCAGGCTTCGGGAACACATCACTCCCACCCTCGCTCACCTCCACTGGCTCCCCATCCCCCAGAGGATCGAATTCAAGATCCTCACCCTCACCTACAAGGCCATTCACGGCCTTGCTCCTTCCTACCTCTCTGACCTACTATCCCCCTACCTACCCGCCCGTACCCTCCGTTCCTCCGGCTCCGGTCTGCTCCACATCCCCCGCCCCAACCGCCCTACCATCGGTGGCCAGGCCTTCAGCCTCTCAGCCCCTAGGCTCTGGAACTCTATCCCCCAGTGCCTTCGCCTTGCTTCCTCCCTTTCCTCCTTCAAGGCCGGTCTCAAGACCTTTCTCTTTGACCATGCCTTCAGCTCCCCTCTCGACTCTCTACCCCCTCCTCGCTCCCTCCCTTCCCTCCCCTCACCCTGACCATTTCCCCCCTGCTCGGGTCCTGACCCAACTGTCCAGCGCCTTGGGACGTCCTCCCGACGTGAAAGGCGCTCAATAAATGGAATCTTGTTGTTGTTGTTGTTGTATTTGGAATCAATCGCCTCCTCCGAGCTGATCTGTTTTAATGTGGACTTTTAACATATTGAATGGGTGATGAGCTTCACAGTGTTGAATAACGATGTCCTTATTACCATTTCAAGTATCAGGATTAATGCTGACAGCATCAATGTTTCTCTTGAAGTATGGAGATCTGAGTCTCAAAGCCTGAAGTCACTTGAAGAGCTTACAGTTGGATAGTGTTTGCATCTTTTGGTATCTAGAGGGTCAATCCATTAACTACCATGAGAAAACAGACTATTCATGTGGATAGCGTCTCGGAGTGCTTAACAGTAGTTAGGTCTCAGAAGACCATTTAGACTTAACTGTCAGCATTGAGTGTTTGAACTGTGTGGTTTGACCATTGCACCACACCAGTTGGCCACATAAATTGGTTGGGATAGATGGACTGCATGTGGAGTCCTGTAGGGTATTGGATAGCTTCGCAAGAGAGCACCCGGGTTTGATTCCCGAGAAGGGGGAAAACTTAGGTAAGTTTCCTTACTCCATGTGCCTCTGTTTACCTAGCAGTATGTAGGAATCTGGTTTTTAGTCGATTGAAAAAATTTAAACTTCAGCATGAATCTATATAAAGGTAAGAACAGAATTGAAGACGAAGAGAGAAGGTTCTGTCGAGAGGGTAAATCTTAATATGTGAGGTCGAAGTGTCTGGCAGAATGTTCATCTACTTAATCTGCGACCTTCAGCTACATGGGGAGAAGATACAAGCTGCCCTTTACATTAGAGGGTATGTTTGTCAGGCTGACCCAGGCACACAGCCAGAACAAGCAGTCTTGTCACTGCCCAAACTGTTCACTAATTGAATTAAATTCTGAATCATTTCATTGAGAGTGGAGATTTGCATTGAGCCAAATTATATAGGAAAAACAGGCTGGGGTCAGAATAGCAGAGCATTGAGGAATGAGGAGCTCCCGCTTATAGATATTAACTAAGTATATGAAACAAGGGCTTGTCACAGGAGGGATTTTTACCTCTCAGATTGCTGAGCACATCTTCTTATAGTGACATCAAGCCTGCGAGGAATCTGTGTTTTTGTTCAATCCTCAATTCTCTTCTGAATATTGCATTATAAAAACTCTTAAGTATTAACCTTTTAAGTGGCATCTATCTGATCTTATTTAGGTCAGTGAAATCAATTAATAATCTTCTAAAAACATTTTTTCTCCACCAAGGTGTGTGATGAAGAACGAGGGCCTTTCTTGTACCATAGCTCTAACATTCAGACTTTGGCTGAAGAGAAATTAAGCGTCCAAGGCTCTCTAAAGCTAAATCTGAAACCAAGATCTAATTGTAACCCAGTAATTGATTGAGTTAAGAAATGATCTTATTTATAATCTTTCAAACATGAGATAAACACGCAGGGTGTTTTAGATCACCCTGGAGATCTAATGCATTGTTTCCAATGATGGAAAACCAATCTAAGCAGAAGTCCAGTGCCTGAAAGAAAGTCTATAGATTCTCCACAGGCTGCGAATCTGCCTGTCAGTAGTTTTAACTCCGATCTTCTACCGCGCAAAATTTTGTCTAGGTCCATTGCCTTTCCTTGTTTTGCTTTCCTTTCTATGATTATTTGAAATCTGCTGAGCTTTTTCACTTCTTTCTTCTGTGATTTCCTTTTTGCTTCTCTCACTCCCCTCTTTCCTTTATATCTCCTATTTCCTTTTTCCCGTGCCCCAGATGATGATTAAGCTTAGTGGTTATGCTCGAGTCCTACCTCACGAACTCGAGTCCTACCTCACGAACCACCAGCAGTACATCTGCACGGCTTCTCCTCCCACTCTCACCCAGTTACCTGCGGGCTACCCTAAGGATCCATCCTTGGTCCCCTCCTCTTTCTGATCTACCTGCTCCCTCTTGGGGATGTCATCCGCAGACATGGGGTACATTTCCACATGTATGTGGACGACGCCCAATTCTATTTTTACACCTCACTTTGACACTCCCAGTCCCCTGATGTTCTGTCAGCCTGCCTGTCAGACCTCAGGAGCAGGATGAGCGCAAATTTCCTTCAGTTGAACATTGACAAGACAGAAGCCATACTCTTTGGCTCTCGTCAATGTCTAAAATCCCATGGCTCTCACCTCCTCCACCTACCCGACCTCCCCCTAAAACTCTCCAAACCCATATGCAACCAGGCGTCAGGTTCAATCCCCAATTATCCTTCCTCCCCCACATCCAGTCCTTCACCAGCACCGCTTTCTTCCACCTCCGACGCATCGCCCGTCTCCGCCAATACTTCACTCCAAAGGCCGCTGAAACCCTGGTCCATGCCTTTGTCACCTCTCGGCTGGACTATTCTAACGCCCCCCCCCCTCACCGGTCTCCTCTCCACTACAATCCATAAAATCTGGGTCCATACAAATCCATACAAAACTCCGCCGCCTGCATTCTCACCTGCACCAAACTCCGCTCCCCGATTACCCCAGTCCTTGCCAGACTGCACTGACTGCCTGTCCCAGAGAGGATCGACTTCAAGATCCTCACCCTTATTCTCAAATCCTTCCATTCCTCTGCACCCCCCTACCCCTCTGACCTCTCTCCTCAAAACAGTGCCCGTTGCCTTCGTTCCACCAGGTCCGGCCTCCTTCTTGTCCCGAGTCCTCCACTCCACCCTTGGCGGCTGTGCCTTCAGCCACTACACCCCGAGGCTCTGGAACTCCCTTCCTCACTCCCTTCGCCTCGAACCCTCTCTTCCTATTTTCAGGTCTCGGCTGAAGACCTTTCTTTTCGACTGCACCTTTGGTCACCTTCCTNCCCCCTCCCCCTGGCTAGGCCCCAGAATCCATTACTGTGAAGCACTCTGAGACACCATCTGATGTGCAGAACGCTATATAAATCCAAGTTGTTGTTGTTGTTGGAAGCTTACTGCACATATGGTGTATCAAACCTCTCTCACTGCATGCCCAGTGATGTTTGACTTGACTTCAAATTCTGCAGATGGTACATATTAATGACATTTTGCATTTTCCCATGTGGCTTTGACATGGTATTACGGACATGCATTCTTCTGAATTCATACTTATTCAACATGTAGGCATATGATGTTACCAGAGGATAACATAATGGTGTTTTTACTGCCAGCAACAGACAGAGCCCCTCAATATGAATGTTAAGAGTTCTCAAGAAAAAGAGTGAGAAATCAGGCTGAAGATTTATGAATTCCCTAGATCCCTACTCCAACCAAAGATGGTTGAAGGTCTTAAGAGTACCCAAACCAGATTGAGAGTTCCACATCTGTATATTATTAAGATCTTCTTACTCTTAGAAATCCAAGATAGTCATTATATTTTTATGACAACTGATTTTGGCCATTTGGTCACCATTATGAAGTCCTGTAGCTCAGTGGTTAGAGCATTCACCTCACAAGCGAGAGTCCTGGGTTCGATTCCCAGCAGAGCGAAATGTTGGGCAACTTTCCTTACTCCATAAGCCCCTGTTTACCTAGCGGTAGGTAGGAACCCTGTTGTTAGTCGATTGGCAGATTGCTTTTCCGAGGGGTAATAATTCCTTCAAAAAAATTGGTTGCTCAATCCACGACTATTTGTAGGACACTGCTGTGCGCAATTGGCTGCCGTGTTTCTCCCACAAAATATACAGTCAATTTGTTTAATAGTATATTCTGTGAAGCGCTTTGAGGCGTCACAAAGACGTGATAAGGCGCTATATCAAATGCAAGGACTATTATTATTGGCAACCTTAATGGAGGCAGGGTTGGAAGATAGGATTTGAGATGATTGATGCCTTTTACTTGCTGACAATTGAATAACATGGTGCTTTATTGTTATATATTTTAACAGTAGTAATATATTGCTACAACTCTTTTTTGACAGGAAGAAGATATAACAGTCAGATGCGGACTCTACTTTGATATCTTTTTAATCCTCTGCAAAAGAAATCCATGGAAAGTTTAAAAAAGATGGAAAATCCCATGGATCAGAGTAAGGGCTTGAGCTACAAAAACAGTCTGGAACCTACGAAGAGGAATGGTCTGATCAATACTAAAAACTTGGTGACAGATACCAAAGATGGGCTGGTATCTCTCTACTCTGCTCCTCAGTACCACGGACATATAGTGGCCAATTTTTCACCCCAGAACTTTGGGGAAAGGAGCAAAAGCGACTCAAACCAGCAACAGCTGCTCGACCCCAGTATGCTACCACAGACAGTGGATTCCCATTACCGACCCAACATAATTTTGTACTCGGAGAGCATGCTGAGGTCCTGGGGTGAGAACATCAGTACTGACTGCTGTGAAACTACTTTCATTGAGAGCAGATCCCCCACCAAGGAAACCATGGACTACACAGACAGCAAATTTATAGATCTGTCAGCCGAGGACATCAAAGTCCACACTCTGTCTTACGATGTGGAGGATGATGAGGAGTTTCAAGAACTAGAGGTAAGAATATCTTAACCAGTTACTGAAGAAAGTACAATCATGTTTCAGTTTATTTTTTTTATGGTATAAAAGTATAAAAGAATCCTGGATTGACAGTGGATTAGCTTAGCTTTTTTCCTTAGGACCTGGGGACAGAATAAAGGTCTTGCTGATGGAACCAAGATCTTTTCTCTTAGTTTGCTGTAAGACTTAAGGTCCTTCAGATGAGATGTTAAAATGAGGTCCCGCCTGCTTGTTCAGGTGAATGTTAAAGGTCTCATTGGCATTATTTGAGAAGAGAAGGGAGTATTTCTTGGTGTCCTGGCCAACAATTCCTCAAATAAAATTAGTCATTCACTTCATGGCTCTCTATAATAATAATAATCCTTGCATTTGATATAGCGCTTTTCACGTCTTCTCGACATCTCAAAGCACTTCACAGGATATACTGTAAAGTGAATTGACTGTATATTTTGTGGGTGAAACGCGGCAGCCAACTGCACACAGCAGTGTCCCACAAACAGTTGTGTATATTTGTGGACAAAACGTCTCTGTAGGACATTGCTGTGTGCAAATTGGCTACCGTGTTTGTTTACAAAATATAAAGACACAATATTTCACAGTAAAATCCTGAAGTGTTTTGAGATATCTTGACAATGTGATAAGATGCTATTTCAAAAGCAAGGATTATTATTATAATATTGGGACAGTGATTTCTCAGTGAATAAGGACTTATTATAGCTCAGTCCTATAGCTCACTGTCTCCTGTGGAGTCCTGTAGCTCAGTGGTAAGAGCACTCACCTCGCAAGCGAGAGACTTGGGTTCAATTCTTGGCAGGGTGAAACATTGGGCAAGTTTCTTTACTCCACACGCCTCTGTTTATCTAGACGTAAGTAGGAACCTGGTTGTTAATCAATTGGCCAATTGCTTTTCTCGGGGTAATAATTCCTTATATAAAAAAATAATAAATTGGTCACTCAATCCACGACTGTTTGTGGGACATTGCTGTGCGCAATTGGCTGCTGTATTTCGCCCACAAAATATACAATCAGTTAACTTTAAAGTATATTCTGTGAAGCGCTTTGAGACGTCTCAAAGATGTGATACGGCACTATATCAAATCAAGGATTATTATTATTATTGTTTCCTGAAATGTTGTGCAGTAACTCAAATATTGAAGACCTTTCTGTCACACTTGACAAAATATTGATATTTGTGGTATATTCACCATTTATCTGTCTTGTGAATATGTCAGCGCTACATAGGTTAATGAATTGTATGGACACATGTCAACAAATACTGCTGACATTTTGCAAAGAGATACACTGAGTGGAAAGTCCCCTGATCTACTATTCCACCTGAATAACAACAGAGCAACAACTTGCATTTATATAGCGCCCATCGCATAAAGTAACGACTCAGATTGCTTCACAGGAACAATACATTAATAATTCTTGCATTTGACTTAATGCATGTAACATGAAATTGATTGAAAATATGTAATAGCTATCAATCAAGTGTCTGTACAGTTGTAGGTGAAGATGCCGACCAATTTGCGCACAGCAGTGTTCTACAGACAATCATGAAGGGAATCACTGAATTACCAATTTATCCACAGGAACTCCCTTCATTTTTTGAACAGTGCTATTACATTATATTTAACATCCACCTGAACAAGCAGACAGAACTTTGGTTTAACGACTCGTCCAGGAAAAGGAACTTACAAAATAGCCTGACTCCGGCTGTTTGGACCAGTTCTGAACTGTAGTGGAGCATGTGGTGGCTGAATCACACCACCACCACCATCACAACAACAAAATTACATTTATAAAGTACCTTTCATGTCAGGAGGACATCCTAAAGCGCTGAACAGTTAGGTGTCGGAGCCCGAGCATGGGGGAGGGGTGGTTTAGGGGTGAGGGAAGGCAGAGAGGTGGGAGGGAGATCAAAGGCACGGTTGAAGAGAAGGGTCTTGAAACTGGCCTTGAAGGAGACAAGGGAGGAAGCGAGGCGAAGGGACCATGGGATAGAGTTCCAGAGTGTGGGGGCGCCTGGGGAACACCAGAAGTGATCTAGAGAATGGGGAAAGTAGGCACCGATTTCATCATTTTATGAAATTATAGTAGTAAAGTTAGCAAATTAATTTAACATGTTCCACCTCAGAAGGCAGCATAGAATTAACCATGCTTTTCTCCCACTTTGTCTCTTCACCAAGAGTGTGAGTTACTGTCCTGTCGTATAACTCTTCACCTCATTCAAAGTTAACCCCCAAATTTAAGTTTGATGGCTGCTCATCACGTTGTTGTTTATCGGTCTTACTTTCACAGATTGATTGCCGGGTTTGGCCTCCTAACAACTTTCACTTTTATTACTAGTCAATTTTAGTTTGTAAAGGGCCTCTTATTTTATGTGAAAGGCTCTATATAAATGCAAGTTATTATTATGGTTTACAGTGATGGCACCAGACTGAATTCAACAATTTGCCAAATTTTGGGCACTCTAAAATGTTACATAGAGTGAATCTACAACCAGGTGAAATTTCTCCCCTAAAGCTCAATGACAGGTTGATTGACTGACTCATTCCAAGCTCCTTTCCAATACAGATCTGATCAAAGCCAAACAATTATACTGAAACCAGATTGGCAAATTCCCAAGTTTACTGAAGTGCTACAGAATGTCCTAGCAGATCCCGAAGAAAATCATTGCTTTTTACTCAACTGAGCTAAAAATGAAAATAAACACAGTCCCGTGATGATCTGAGTCAGGATTTTCATAATTGCTGTGTGGGCAGCAGTGTAGGAAAAGCTGAAGAGGTTATTTTGAAGCGTGTCATTACTGTCAAAGAACTGCAATAGGTTTTCTCATTTTGCTGCAAAGCCTTTGCTTTGTGCAAATTGCCTGCCGCACTCACCTGCAAAACACACAGTCATTACACTTGACAGTAAAATCCTGTGAAGCACTTTTAGATATCTCGACGAAGTGATACGGCACTATACCAAGTGCAAGGATTATTATTAGTATATAAAGCTATTAAAAAAATTCTGTATTCTGGCAGAATGATAATTTGACCTAGAGGTCTTGGGATAAATCAAAAAATGTCATCAGACTTTGAAATACTTCAAGGCAGCAGTCTTCTGTGTTGCTTATGATATATAAAGAGCCAAGTGGTCTGTAAAATCCATTTGCAGCATAAAATGTAATTGCAGCTTGGGAGTTCAGCTTCATTCGGTCAGCTCCTGATCTTAGCCAAATGCTCAGGTACGTCCAGGGGGTAAACCTAGGAAACTCACTTTAGGGACAGATAGATAGGCAGAAAGTGAAATATCTCCTCTATAACTCACTAACAGATTGACTGACTGATTTATTCCAAGTCCCTTTCCAATACAATGCAGAACTGATCCACACCAAACAATTACATTAAAACCAGATTGGCATGGGGCATCTCTTCACACATTTGTTCAAGAACATGGGGTAGGAGCCCAATTACACAGAAGAAATCATCCCCCTTCCAATATAAGATATATATATTGCATTCATCCATATTGATGTTTATTTGCAAGTGAATGGTCTGCACATTTAACTCCCTTCAACTGAGTCTTCAAATCCAGATCATTTCTGCATACTCAGAACAGGAGAAGTTCCACATTACCCCACTCTCAATACCACTCCTGATTCAACCTAACTTCTCTTAACACTACATCGACTTCCTTCTCTTTGACCTAGTTACTAATCCACACCCATGTTTTACCATTGATGCCTAATGATTTTAGATTGTAAAGGTGTCCCTTATATCAAAAGCATATCAAAAGTATATCAAAAGCACAATGGTTTGCTATCCCTAATATTAAAAAACAATTTTCTTTGCCCATATTTCCCAAGAAAATACATAGTCACTATAAAATAACATGGTCACTGCAACTGACCGTTATATCCTGCGAAATATTTTGAGGCATCCTTGTAAGTAAGGAAGGAAGGAAGGAAGGAAGGATTATTATTATTGTTATCATTATTTAAGGCCTAAAATCTAGTCCATTCTTTAAATAATGGGTAATCGACAGCTGGAAACAAATTAGGGTGTTTGAGGTCAGGATACTGAACACATTTAATAAACTACTTGATACTGCAATAGGTAGATGATATGATAGATATTTGGGAATGATGAAATCAAAAGGGAAAGGCCATTTCATCAAAACGGCCATATCCTCTGCATCTTGTGACTACATTTCTAATTCTCTTTTAATGGGATTCTGCCACAACAACAGTCTATGGCAGAGAATTCCATTTTCCCACCATACAGTTAGCACATCAACAGAGCTCGATTTCGTTTAAACCTGTTGTGCGTCAGGGATTCAGAGCAAACAGTCTAGTTCCAAACTGTTGTTTTCCATTGTTCGGCTACTTGAACCAGTTTGACACCGTACCCTTTGTGTAACTGAAGCATTAGATATTTTGTCGAATTAACTATGGGTGGTGAAAAAAAGCTGCATAATGACTTATTCACAGCTGGAAGATACATTACATCCTCCTTGCTGCTCTCCTGGGGAGAAACTTTGGGCGCTTGTTGAATTTAGTCTTAATTTGAAAAAGAGTTTACTGTAGATTTTTTGAAGAATTGTCTGAAACTCGCACACTGAAATGTGGAATTTGTTCTTTCAGAAAAGCCCAGCCTCTAGTTGCTGGACACCAAAGTGGTATAGATCACCTTTACTCTTATACTATGCATTGATCTATTCAGTAAAGTTTGGCTCTTAAACTTCCTCTGATTCTGTTGCCGTTGCCGAGCAGCTCCTGACTCCCAGAGCCGATCACATTAGGAGATCGCAGGTGTTTGTAATGAGTAGACCTGCCAAGTGTCGATCAGGGGAGAAGGCACTCCCTTTGCTCTGAGGATGTAACAAAGTTCAATGAATGTCATTGTGAGAAATAAAGTAAAATAAATAAAGTGAGATGTCAGGGGCATGAGATGTTCAAATTGGATTGTAAACTGTGCCACCAATTGTAAATCTCAGCACTCAGCAATATGAATATGAATATTCGATATGAATACACCTTGCATTCCGGCCCTCATTCAATCTGTTTTCTTTCACATCCCCAACATCCCCTCCACCAGCTCTCCCTCCAGACCCTCGTCCATCTATGTATCACCTCAGGCTTGACTGTTATTGTGTTCCTACTCACAGACTCCCCAGCTCCTCCCTACACCAGCTGCAGACTATTCAATGCTCTGTTCAGCGCCTTGGGACGTCCTCCTGACGTGAAATGCGCCTTACAAATGTAATTTTGAATTGTATTGTACTCTGCAACCCATGTCATGTCCTGCATTAGGTTCCACGATCTTATTTACCTTATCTTCCCTCAGCTCCACTGGCTCCCCTTGCCTCAACGGATTAAAATCCAGATTCTTATCCTTACTTTTAAGGGCCTGCGTGGCCCCTCTACTCCCTACCCCTGCAACCTGCTACAGTCCAACCACCCTCGCCATGCTCTCCTCTTAGCAAACATGTCTCCCACCCAATCCACCCCACCAACAGTGGTTGAGACTTCAGCGTTCTCCCCCTGTTCTCTGGAACTCCTTTCCCGGAGTCCCTCCGCCTTTCCCTACTACTCTCTGCCATTAAAATGTATCACTTCGACCGTGCTTTTTCCCATCACCAATTATACCTCCAGGCCTCAGCTTATTACCCACCTTCTTACTCCAATGCTCATTCTTTGCTTGTTATGTTTTTCTCCAACCGTAGGTTCCTTCACAGTGAAACCCATTACCCAAGAAAGTGACAGGCATCTTTCCAGGCTCACTATTACAGGTGCCACAAAATCTTACGTGCGGAACAGAATATTCCAGTTTCACAGTTTTTATATTGTTATAAAAGCCAATTGACTGTACAGGGGAGGGAAGACCGGGGGTGGTGAAGAGTTCCAGTGACTTGAAGTCCTGGAAGGATGAGTTTAAGAAGCCGACAAGAGCAATGAGTTTTGATTTTAACTGTGGGCATGCAAAGTGGAGGACAATATAAACAGAGCTTAACAAGAAAGTTAAGAGCTGAAGGTTGATGATAGTAGCAATGACAGCATGAAGAAAGACAAGAAAAGAGAAAGAATATGAATGTCTGAGGTACCACCAATACCAATTAAAACCAAAGTTCACTCACTACTTCCTATTTGTATTTGGTATAAGTTACAGATAGAAGCTGAATCACTGGTATGAAGTAATGTATGAGATATTACACGGTGACCTAATATAATAATAATGCTTGTATTTAATATAGCAATTCTCACGTCAGGGGAATGTGTCAAAGTGCTTCACCAGATTTTATTATAGAATGTGGTTATTGTGTATTTTGTAGGTGAATGCGCACATGATACAAGATTTGTAGGCAAAATGTCCTATTGATCCTTCTGTTCTTATGATCACGCAAAGCCCTTTCATTGTAATGAGATCCTGGAATTTATCACCTGGTGTATTATTAGAAAGAAATGAAGTCAGGCACAGTTACAGCTCATGGGGTTTTCCTCTGTTCATTCTGTACAAATGATTGAGCCTGACAGCTGCATTAAATGGGGCTGTCCTCATTATTGATATGAAACGATCAGATGATTGTGTGAGGAACAGTGAACACTACAAAACCATCACTATTCTGTCGACAGTTTGTCCCCTGCTTCAAATAAAGGCAAACCTTTCTGTCTCTGTCTGTCTGTCTTTCAGATTCTGTAATCCTGAACTGTATCCCTATTAGATCTCTCTCATCACCTCATGCTTTCAATTGAAATGTGCACTCAGAAAAAAATCATCCCCTAGTTGCAATACACACATGCACAATTAATGATTTCCTCCACAAAATTTCTGCTCAACTTTGCTTCTCACACCCATTGCAAGGGATTGTTGGGAAGAAGGTCTAGATTTGTTCTATTGGTGTCTTCCTTCCGAGCTTGCAGAGTTTGGCAAATTCTTAAAAGCAGCCCTAAATCTTGAAGCCAGTTTTATGCAGGTTTGTGTAAGAACTACAGAAAACCAGCTTCAAAAGTAATACTGAATTCAATAGTTTGCCAAATTCTGGGTTCTAAAATGCTTCATAAATAGAGTAAATTGGCCAGGTCGCCAAGCTTTGCCAATGTTAAGTACTTCAAGATGCTACCCCTTGTGAAGAGTGCAATGTGGAGGCAAGTTGTTGTTGTAAATCTAGACCCACATGAAACTTTTCCCCAACAATAACTTGCATTTATATAGCGCCCTTCACATAGGATAACATCTCAGAGCACTTTGAAGTGAACTCTACACTTGTAGTTATGCACCATGAATATATGGACATTCCATAACGACATGATGCAAAACTGCAAGTGGAGTGTTTGTGCTATTTGCAAAATTTAGAGAATTTGTCATGTTGTGCTTATAAATAGCTGTATGCAGTTTTACATGCACCATTTAATTTAAAATTTATGTTATTTATAATTTAAAATATGTACTGTGCTTATTTATAATTGCAAAGTGACAAATCTTCTAAGCTGAACTGAATGAACAGACCAGAATTTTAAAAAAAGCTTTTATAGCTCTTTATCACATTGAAATGTTTCAAAGCATTTCACAAGTAATTATTGCCAGGTGCAGTGATTATTTCTGAGACAAACTTGACAGACAATTTGGCTCCAGCGAAATCTCACGAATATCCATGAGGTGAATAATTGATTAATGTAGAGGCTTATTGGCTAGGACTTTCCCTTTGTCATGGGATATTTAATGTCAGAATAATCCTTAAAAATTCTTGAATTTAGTGTAGCGCCTATCATGATATCTCACAGTGCTCTACTCTAAAGAGGAGTGATAGTGTACATGTAGGTGAATGCGGCAGCCCAACTCTGCCCAGCAATGTTCCACAACCAGCCATCAAGTGAATGACCAGTTTTATTTGGAGGATTGTTGGGCAGTACATTGGGAGAAATACCCTTCTCTTTTTGTGTAGTGCCATGGGCTCTTTAACAGAGTAGTCCCCACGTTCTCTCACTAACAGAACTCCTTTCAAACATGTCTGTCCCTTTTCATCCTGTGCAGAGCGATTACTCAAGTGAGACAGAAAGTGAAGACAATTTCCTGATGATGCCGCCCAGGGATCACTTGGGGCTCAGCGTCTTCTCCATGCTCTGCTGCTTCTGGCCTTTGGGAATTGCTGCCTTTTATCTTTCACATGAGGTAAGTCAGGGTTAAAGGTCCTAAGCACCATCGATTGAAGAATTGTCCACCGTGTACTGTCAAACTACACACAGTGATTGCGGAAGATTTTACTCCATTATTTGGGAAACTCAGAAATCACTTTGATCATTTTGCCAAATTGCAGAATAAAATGCCCCTAAAGTACAGGTAGCTGCTGATTGTTCAAATTTTCAGAAGCTTTTGTTACGCCTATCTTTAGTGAATCCTGAATGGACTATCACTGTACAATGCAGTTAGAACCACCCAATGATAAAGATCGCTGTCTTTATGGATCAATGTAGCCCCAATCTCAAACATAAATGGATTTTATGTGGACTGTTACAGTACAAAAACAGACCATTTGGTCCAACTAGTCCACACTGCTGTTAACATTACGCGTGAGCCTCCATTCTTCACAATTCCCTCTCGCTCAACCCTCCATCCCTTCTCCATAATGTGTGAAAGACATTTTCTTGATTGGGAATCAACCCTGGGCTATGGCAGAGATTTAATTCAGGAACTTGAAAGGAGAACGCAGTTAAATACAGATTAGAAATCTTTTAACATTCAAAGTCTCAAGATATCAACTTTATTAGAAAAGATTTCCCAGAGAGTTACCTAAATCATCCTTTCAGTATCTGAGAACTTTTATTTTCTCTGCTTTGATCTTCTACCTGCCTCTCTTGAAGGAGCTGACTGGTGCTATTTGTGCTACACTCCCTGAGTGGTGTTCTTTGTGAGTTCAAACAGCAGACACTGAGTGTGCGTTTGAGGCAGTGCAGACCAAATTGTTCCTATCCTAATCCAACATCCACACACTAGAGCCACAACTTGCTAGTTTGAGTCCATAATTCTCAGGTATGTGTACATTATGCACGCTGGGCAGAGGAACAATTCTCCTATGGGTACATACTTGTACAGTTTTTGGAGAGGGGAAAGCCCTATATTAAAGTGAAGATCATGGGGATTTGATTCACCAAACAATTTTGAGTTGCACACTCCTCTCCTCAAATCTCCCCAGGTCTGTGATCATGATGACTCCTGTGGTTTGCTGTTTGTGGTGGCACGATTCTTACAATGTTGTCACATTGAAATGTCTCAAAGTGCTTCATGGAATTTTCTGTAAAGTGTAATGACTGTATTTTGTCAGCAAATGCGGTAGCTAATTTGCACACAATAATGGCACATAAACAGCCATACGTGACTGACCAGCCTTGTGTCTGGGGAATTGTTGACCAGGACACCAGAAGAAACTCCCTTCTCTTTTTGAATTGGTTCTTTAGCCTTCACCTGAACGGGCAGTTGGGACCTTGATTTTATGTCTCGTTCAAAGAAAGCACCTCCAATAAAATGCAGCACTCTTCAAGCACTGTAATGGAACGTCATCTTAGACTAATGTCAGACATGGAGACATTGGGGTCATTTGAGTGATTCATTGGATGTGTATTGGACTCTGTGACATTGTTCTCAATGGGAAGCTGGTGAGGGGCATTGGATTTCTGGCTCACAGCCTAAGATTAGCATTATGCTGGCTTTGCACTGAACTGAGCCCACAGGGCAGCCAGTATCCTGCTAACCAGCAGTCAAAAGCAATGACCCGGGAGCTGAAGAGTAATTTGCAATATATGCAAAGTGGGTTTGATGAACAAACTGCGACTTCAAGTCTGCAACTATTTGTTGGTATACAGAGGTAAACAGTGAGTAAAAAAAGACAGGCGAACAAAATGCTGGTCGGACCACTCGCTGGTCTTTGCCAGGTTTTGCTGCATTGCAATAATTCTATTATTCATCTGGGAATGTAGATGATGCCAGCAGGGCCAGGGTCACAGATGCCGCAACGGGGATCTAATTTGGGAGATTCATAAAATGATTCATAAAATAATTCATAGCTTGCAAATTCCGGATGAGTCGCAGGTGACCCCACTTTCGAACCCAACTTCTGAGGAGCGGGTGGTGTGAGTGTCCCGGTTACATTATTGTTGATAATTGTCCATGTTAGTCACACTTCCTTTTGTTTTCAGACACAGAAACATTCACATTCCAATGACTCTGAGATCTCAGAATAATTTCCCAGTGTTTTGCTGATCTGAGGGTCTTGTGTTGCAGACAGCATTTGAATGAGTACTGGATAACGCAGTACTTAAATACTCATCAGTAACATTGCTGACTTGGTTGCTCAAGGAGTGTGGTCAGAGACCCATTATCAAATCTATCTGCGCGATGTTAAAGATCAATATAGGCTTTTGTTTCCCAAATAGGCTTTTACCAGATAAATGACAATATACTGATTTTTCATTAAGTGAAATGAACTCAGACCCATTCTTTACTGTGTTATTACCCCCAAATTCCTGTGTTTTCATTCCAAATGCACTGCCGAGACATTTGTTGCAGAATTAGATATGAGAATGAAAAACTTTCAAGAATTTCCACAAAGATTTTGAAAGGTGTTACAATCTCTGACCAATATGTACACCACAATTCAATAATTTCTGTCTCACTACATAAAATTAATTAAGCCAATAAAACTTAAGTTTGAAAAATAATTGAACTTGAATCCTTTATCGAATAAATTTTTTATTTTTTGAATCCCACTGAAAATATTTTGTTCCAGTGCCAAAAGGTGGTCACATAAAATAGGGGCAAAATATGAGAAATTCTTAAAAAAAATGCTCGTGATAACAGATGAGAAAAGCCAGAAGGAATACTGCTAATTTGTTACTAATTCCTTAATTAACATTATGCTTAAGCTGTCACCCTTACTCACTGCACTGCTGCCGATCTTTGATTGCCGGTAAAAAGCCCAGGAAACTCTATATGGTCAACTTCCTTGTGCAGTAACAGAAGGAAAAGGTTGCGAAATACATTTACTATGGTAACGCAAGGCACATTCTAAAAAAGAAAATTCAGGAGGAACTGCTTCACGCAGTGGGTAGTGAGATTGTGGAACACACTGCCTGAAGCAGTGGTTCATTTAGATACAGTAGACGCATTCAAAAGCATCCTTCACATGAGGGAGAGAGGAATAGAAGGGTATGGAATAACAACAACAACTTGGATTTATATAGCACCCTCCACGCCGGATGGCGTCTCAGAGTGCTTCACAGTAATGGATCCCGGGTCCGAGCCAGGGGGAGGGGGAGGAAAGTAACCAAAGGCACGGTCGAAGAGAAAGTTCTTAGCAGGGACCTGAAAACAGGAAGAGAGGGAGCGAGGCGAAGGGAGTGAGGAAGGGAGTTCCAGAGCCTCAGGGCATAGTGGCTGAAGGCACGGCTGCCGAGCGTGGAGCGGAGGACTTGGGGAACGAGGAGGAAGCCAGACCCGGAGGAACGAAGGCATCGAGTACTGTTTTGAGAAGAGAGGAGGTCAGAGAGGTAGGGGGGTGCAGGGGAGTGGAGGGATTTGAATACAAGGTTGAGGATCTTGAAGTCGATCCTCTCTGGGACAGGCAGTCAGTGCAGTCTGGCAATGACTGGGGTAATCGGGGAGCGGAGTTTGGTGCGGGTGAGAATGTGGGCAGCAGAGTTTTGTATGATCTGGATTTTACGGATGTAGTGGATGGGAGACCGGCGAGGAGGGTGTTAGAATAGTCCAGCCGAGAGGTGACAAAGGCATGGACTAGGTTTCAGCAGCTTTCGGAGAGAGGTATTGGCGGAGACGGGCGATGCGTCGGAGGTGGAAGGCGGCGGTGCTGGTGAGGGACCGGATGTGGGGGAGGAAGGATAATTGGGGGTCGAACCTGATGCCTAGGTTGCGTATGTGAGATTCTAGACGTTGATGAGAGCCAACGAGTATGGCTTCCATCTTGTCAACGTTCAGCTGAAGGAAATTTGTGCTTATCCAGCCCCTGAGGTGACAGGCAAGCTGACAGAACATCAGGGAACTGGGGGTCGTAAAGGGAGGTGGAAAAATAGAGTTGGGGGTCGCCTACATACATGTGGAACTGTATCCCATGTCTGTGGATGACATCCCCAAGAGGGAGCATATAGATCAGAAAGAGGAGGGGGCCAAGGATGGATCCTTGGGGTACCCTGCAGGTGACCGGGTGAGAGAGGGAGGAGAAACAGTTTGTGCAGATGTACTGCTGGCGGTTTGTGAGGTAGGACTCGAACCAGGCGAGTGCGGTCGCACTGAGGTGGATGACGGAGGAAAGGCGGTGGAGGAGGATGTCGTGATCGACTGTGTCGAACGTGGCGGAGAGGTCCAGGAGGACAAGGAGGCAGAGGGAGCTCTGGTCACAGATAGAGAGGATGTCGTTTGTGACTTTCGAACCCCTCCAAACCGGAAGCACGATTGGAGGGGTTCGAAGAGGGAGTGGAAGGAGAGGTGTGCGCGAAGTTGATGGCAACAATGTGTTCTAGGACTTTTGCGAGGAAGGGCAGGTTAGAAATGGGGCGGTAGTGGCTGGGGTTTGAGGGATCTCGGGAAGGTTTTTTGAGGAGGGGGGTGATGACAGCAGTTTTGAGGGGGGCAGGGACTGATCGGAGGAGAGGGACTGGTTGATGACCTCACCCAGTAGTGGGCAGAGGAGGGGGAGCTGGGTGACCAGCAAGTTGATGGGGAGGGATCGAGGCAGCAGGTGGTGGGTTTCATGGTGGTGATGGTGGGTGAGAGGGAGGAGGGAGAGATGGGGAGGAAGGAATGTAGGATGGGGGTGGTGGTAGGAGCAGATGATGGGGAGGGTGAGAGGGACAGAGAGGGGGTGGTGGTGGGTGGCAAGAGGCAGGTGGATGAGGCTGCCTGGCGGATGTTGTGAATTTTAGATGAAAAGAAGTCCATGACCTCCTCGCACTTGGCATTTGATATGAAGATTGAGGAGGCCTGAGGGGGGGCACGGAGGAGGTAGTAGGTGGTGGAAAAAAGGATTTTAGGGTTGTGTTTAGCCTCCAAGATGATGTTGGAGTAGAAGGCCGTTTCTGCACGTGTCAAGGAACGGCGGTAGCCGTGGAGATGCTCGAGCTACAGTTGGTGGTGAACTGTCAGGCCAGTTTTCCGCCATCTGC